TGCAAGCCATACTGGACAACATTTTGTGTTCTCACTCTTTGATAAAATCATTCAAAATTTCAGAATGGAAGCTTACTTGATCAACAAAACTGATCTAGTTCAAATATATATTCTTCCTATGTCTTTAATCACCCCCTAAGGCAATTATAATTACTCATTTTATTTGTATGAAGTAACATAAATCTATTTGAAAGTTAGTAGATTTCTGACACAAGTTTGTAGTCTTATCTTAGATTTTACATTTCACAAGACGATAACCTTTATTTAGTATTACAATTTATTTCTACCTTTGTCACATTTTTAGGGGAGAAAATAAAGCTTATTCATCCAAATCACTCACTCAAAGTGATGCTGGAAAGTTTAGCGATTACAGTCCTGAAAATAGCCAACCAATTGCAGTGCTGATAACAATCAAACAATACCAGTCCTGAAAATAGCCAACCAATAACAGTGCTGATAACAACCAACCAATACCAGTGCTGATAACAACCAACTAATTACAGTGCTGATTACAACCAACCAATAACAGTGCTGGTAACAACCAACCAATTACAGTGCTGATGATTACCATCAAACAACACTTGGGCAAATCTATGACTCATTCAGAACATTTAGGGAATCACCCCAAGACGTATACCATTTAAATACCCTCTGCATGCTACTTTTCCTGGAGAACATCATTTGAAAAGACATATGAACTTGTAAAGCAGTTTTAAAGAGATGCATCAGTACACCAGTGGAGAAAGCCAAATGAATGTAACATTCTGCTTGAAAACCTCTACCAGTGCAGCTGAATTACCTACACAAATGGGGACTCAAGATACAGGTAAAAAACTGTTTAAGTGCGAGATTTGTGGAAGTGAGCTGAAGGAAGCAGGAAACTTAAGGAAACACATGAGGATACATACAGGTGAGAAACCGTATGTATGTGGTCTGTGTGGAAGGACATTCAGCTTATCGAGTTCCTTAAGAACACACATGAGGACACATACAGGTGAGACACCTTTTAAATGCGAGGAGTGTGGGCAGGCATTCATGCAATCAAATGCATTACGCAGACACATGTGGACCCATACAGGTTATAAACCTTTTAAATGTGATGTGTGTGGGAGGTTATTTATCCAATCCAGTGTCTTAGAGATACACATGAGGACACACAGAGCTGATGACAAATGTGATGTGTGTGGGAAGACCTTCAAGAAATTATCTCTTTTAAAGAGACACATGTTGAGTCATTCAGATGATGAACCTTATAAATGTGAAGTGTGTGGAAAGACATACAAGGACATACAGAACTTAAATCTACATATAAAGACACATACAGGTGATGAGCATTATAAATGTGATGTGTGTGAGAAGATCTTTTCTTTGTCTCAGCACTTTAAGTCACACATGAAAACCCATGCAAGGAACTTTTTTGTTCAGTCGGAACAATCGCAGATGTACTTAAAGACACATGCAGATGGAGAGTCGGCAGAGAGTGATGAGATTGGGAATTCAGAAAGAGGAGGAGACAATTCTTGTGATGTGTGCGGAAAAGTACTGAGCGATTCGAAGGGTTTACAAAGACACTTGAAAATACATGAAGGAGAGAATCCATATTCGTGCGATATCTGTAGAAAAACATTTCGTGAAATGGCACACTTGAAAAGACACGCAAAGACGCATACATCTGAAAAAGCTCATAGTTGTGATGTGTGTGGGAAGGAGTTTAAATATCCAGATGGTTTACGAAGACACATGAGAATACATAGTGAAGAAAAACCTCATTCATGTGATATTTGCGGGAAAGCCTTTCGGGAAAGGGCACACTTGAAGAGACACACACAGACACATACATCTGAAAAAGACCATAGCTGTGAGGTGTGTGGGAAGGAATTTAAATATCCAGATAGTTTACAGAGACATTTGAAAACACATCAAGAAGAAAAGGAAGAAACAACCTAAGTTTATGTGATATAATTAGAAAATCTTGAATTCAAAAGACACATAATGACACGTATGAAAATTATCATTAAAATATAATTATTGAGGTGAAACAAAAACAAAACAGAAAATTAAATCTAATTTGTGTGGGAAATTAAAAAAATAAAACTTGTGTGTATATTGAGCATGTTGAGAAGGCGCTCTGATAGAAAGGATATAATCAGGGCAACAAAAGTCTTAAAAAGTGTCATTTTTTTTGCCTGAAAAAAATCAAGTATGACAAAATTATGTAATTGAAATATTAAGAACCAGAAAAAAATAAAACATAATGATATTAATGCTCAATCGCAACTTCTCGGGCCTTTCCGACTAGCAGAAAAACGACCTCGAATGTATATGGTAGATGCCATGACAACCCTCCTTTTTTACGATCTTTGAAATAAATGCATGGAGACCTTTTATCTGTGGAATATGGAGTTTAACTTTATTCAATGTAATGACATTACCTAAAATAAACTATAGAAGGGACTCCGTCTATCTTATATTTGACTAAACAGGAAATGTATGAATTTTTAACATCTGGTGATGTTAATACATTCGAGGTTGTTTTTCCGATCTCTGACGGAAAAACCGGAGATGTTGCGATTGATTAACGCTCTCAGAGTTAGTGAAGATTCTTAGCTATTTATTTCTTGGTACATGGAACCTGAGTAAGGTTAGTGCCACACAAGGGTATCAAAATTTTACATGAAATAACCCCATCCCCAATTTTTTTAACCTCAATCTGCAAACATTTCTACCAGTATATTTATTTTTAGCTTACCTGAGCCGAAGGCTCAAGTGAGCTTTTCTGATCACATTTTTCCGTCTGTCTGTCCATCCGTTTGTCCGTCTGTAAACTTTTTAGCTCACCTGAGCCGAAGGCTCAAGTGAGCTTTTCTGATCAAAATTTATCCGTTGTCTGTCTTTGTCGTTGTCGTTGTAAACTTTTCACATTTTCATCTTCTTCTCAAGAACCACTGTGCCAATTTTAACCAAACTTGGCACAAAGTATCCTTGGGTGAAGGGTAATCAAGTTTGTTCAAATGAAGGCCCACGCTCTTTTCCAAGGGGAGATAATTATGAATTAGAGAAAAATTAATGGCATTTTTAAAAAATCTTCTTCTCAAGAATCACTGGGCCAGGAAAGGTGAAATTTATGTGGAATCATCCTCTGGTAGTGTAGATTCAAATTTGTTCAAATCATAACCCCTGGGGCAAGGGTGGGGCCAAAATGGCCGACCCAAGTTTGACATCGGAATATATAGGAAAAAATCTTGAAAAATCTTCTTCTCCAGAACCACTGGGCCAGAAAAGGTGAAACTCATGTGGAATCATCCTCAGGTAGTGTAGATTCAAGTTTGTTCAAAACATGACCCCTGGGGCTAGGTGGGGCCAAAATGGCACACCCAAGTTTTGCATAATGATATATAGGGAAACATTCTTTTCAAGTACTCGAAAACTTTGATTAGTGTTATTTATATGGAATCATCCTCAGGTAGTGTAGATTCTAGTTTGTTCAAATGATGAACGCCTGGGGGGGGGGGTAAATTCAAGCCCAATGTGGTCAGGTGAGCACTGTGGCCCCTGGGCCTCTTGTCACATTTTCGACTTCTTCTCAAGAACGACTAGGCCAATTTTGACCAAACTTGGTACAAAGCATCCTTGGGTGAAGGAGAATTTAAATTGTTAAAATAAAGGGCCAAGTCCCCACATAAGGAGAGATAATCAAGACAAAAATAGGGAGGGGTCATTAAAAAATCTTATTCTCAAGAAGCACAGGGCCACAAAAGCTAAAACTTACATGGATGCATCCTGGTATAGTGTAGATTCTAAATTGTTAAAATAATGACCCCCAGGGGAAGGGCGGGGCCACAATGAGGAATCAAAGTTTTATATAGAAATATATAGGAAAAATCTTTGAAAATCTTCTTCTCAAGAACCATTGGGCCAGAAAAAGCTGAATCTTATGTGGAAGCATCCTGGGGTAGTGTAGATTCTAAATTGTTCAAATCATGACCCCTGGGGAAGGATGGGGCCACAATGGGGAATCAAAGTTTTACGTAGAAATATATAGAGAAAATCTTTGAAAATCTTCTTCTCAAGAACCACTGGGCCACAAAAGCTGAAACTAATGTGGAAGCATCCTGGGGTAGTGTAGATTCTAAATTGTTCAAATCATGACCCCCGGGAGAAGGGCGGGGCCACAATGAGGAATCAAAGTTTTACATAGAAATATATAGGAAAAATCTTTGAAAATCTTCTTCTCAAGAACTACTGGGCCAGAAAAGCTGAAACTTATGTGCACATGGAAGGATCCTGGGGTAATGTAGATTTCAAAATATCTTAATTATGATCAGTTGGGTAGGTGGGGATTCATTATGTATTACGAAGAGGAAATCTGGTAAAGAACAGAATGGTCAAAGCTTCTCAGGTGAGCGATGTGGCCCATGGGACTCTTGTTTTCCTTCATTTTGAACACTGGAGTAGAGTTGGATAAGATCGGTATAAAATTTTGCACAATGCAGGCCGGTCTGTAAGGAAAAAATTCTTCTCCTAAACTCCTTAAGGCCATGCAAATGACATTGGTATTGAAGCATTCCCATGGTATATGGATTTGAGGCAACTTATGTCGACTTGAAAAATTCCTGACACACACATATATATATATTTGATATATCAAAATAATAATTTTTGAGAGGGACATTAAACAATATACAATCAATCATTTAAGTTAATAAGTAAACCCTATTTAAAGAATAAGCCTGAGGCCCAAAGAAGTTAACTGGATATAAAAATATTATATTCCTTTTACATTGTTTTAATTCAGTAAAAATGGGTAATTAGAAAACAGAGGAATTTGTATTGGGATAAATAATAAGTTTAAGGTTCAAATTCTAATTATTTATTTCAAGTAACAAAATTATTTCATTATGTCTTAATCTTGACTCTTGTGTTCTGTAAAGTAATATCAGACATTATGTAACATCGTCTCAGTACTTTCAGCTCTTTGATTATAACAGATCGGGATCGGCATTCACTTCGCCGAAGCGCAAAGTGCCCGTGGCATTCCATACGTTTTTTGTTGACACTTGGACAGGTATTATAAGTTTAACCAATATTTATAAAAGAAAAAAAAAATTCAGAGACATAGTAAAATGTTTTACCATAACGAAGAAAGATATCACTGAATAAGATTGTTTGTTCTTACAGAGACAGTGGATTGTTTATAATAAGTTTTGCACATATCAGGCTGTCAACGTCCCAAATGAGATAAAATGACCCAAGCAAGTTCTCTAAGGTACAGGCATCTGAAGCTTGGATAGCACAAATGTTAAAATAACACAAGGTAGGACTATTCTCAGTCTCTGAACAAAATTTATTAAATTTTGCAATATAGCAGGTCCAGTCCAAAGACTATTTCTACCTACGTAGGTATTAATAGCTACGTAGGTATTTACACCTACCCAAGGTAGCTATTTTTACCTACTTTCTGCTTTATTTGCATTTTGTGGCCAAATGCAGGAACGGCGCAACATGGATTGGTAAACACAAAATTTCTTGATACAGTCACATTGATGATGGATATGACAAAAATTTGGCCAAAAAATGATTACTTTACATGCTTTATATATTATCAATTTTGCATAGAAACTAATGTAAAATTGCCGATTCAAGAAGTAATCATTTTTTGGCCAAAATTTTGTCGCATACATCATTAGTGTGAATGTATCAAAAAATATGGTATTCACCATGTTGCACCGTTTGGTCTTTCGGCCGCAAAATGCAGAAAATATTAAAAGTAGGTAAAAATAGCTACCTTGGGTAGGTTTAAATACTTATGTAGCTATTAATACCTATGTAGGTAGATATAGTCTTTGGACTGGACCTGTTTAGTTCTTTGTATTTTGCAAGCACTCTGTCAGGTAGTACAAAACTTCTAACGTTTTCCATGAAAACTTCAGATGTTGGGACTATCTGTCAGAGTTATGTTCTATAAAATGGTAATTTTGGTCAATAATGTAAATTTTAAAGCTGAACACAATTTGTGAAAAATATAGGTATCAGCCATATTTGATCGTATTCTCACTATATCTGGAGACAGCTATATAAAGCAGCTGACTGTCACTGACACCAGTGTTAATGGATGTATGCTAAGCGGCACTCGCAACAAAAGACAACTGTATTTTGCAGATTGAAGTAGTATATTCACCTGCAATGTTCGCTTAAAAATAAGATTGATTCAAGTAAATCTTATTTTGAGGCTTGAAAGAAATAAATTAAACATAGTGAATTTTTTGCAGCATGCCCTAATGATTGGAAGTGTTAAGAAAACAAAGGTGTCAGGGTTTTTTATTCGGAATGAGACTTGTGTTGACCCAGAAAAACAACTGTAGCAGCACACTGTGGACTGTTCTATCTGGGTAATGAACAGTAAAATTACCTTACAGCTGCAAGATTTATAAATATAAATGCTTCACATTTAATCAAATTAATTAACAATCAATTTCCTTGTCCGTGTTGTCAGCAGTATATTCATGATTTAGAGCACCTTTATCAATATGAAACCCTCTTTTAAAAGTACACATACAGAATGTGTTTTATTTTTTTAGAAGAATGCAAATAACTGTTTTTTTTTTCATCTCTCTTTACAAGTTTAACAGCAATAATTAGGTCACAATGTCAGAGATGAATACCAGGAACACACCTCATAATGAACACTTGAATACTGACGAGTCTGTTGGTATGTATAAAGGAAAAGAATGTAGATAAATAAGATAGTTCTTGCCTTATTTTTAGCTCGCCTGAGCCAAAGGCTCAAGTGAGCTTTCCTGATCACATTTTGTCCATCGTCCGTCTGTCCGTCTGTAAACTTTTCACATTTTAAACTTCTTCTCAAGAACCAATAGGCCAATTTTAACCAAACTTGGTACAAAGCATCGTTGGGTGAAGGGGAGTTTAAATTATAAAAATGAAGGGCCAAGTCTCCTTACAAGGGGAGATAATCAAGAAAAGACAAAAATAGGGTGGGGTCACTAAAAAATCTTCTTCTCAAGAACCACTTGACCACGAAAGCTGAAACTTTTGTGGAAGCATCCTTGGGTAGTGGAGATATTAAATTGTAAAAAATCATGACCCTCTGGGGTAGGGCGGGGCCACAATAGGGAATCCAAGTTTTACATAGAAATATATAGAACATACCTTTAAAAATCTTCTTCTCAAGAACCACTGGGCGAGGAAAGCTGAAACTTATGTGTAAGCATCCTTGGATAGTGTGGATATTAAATTGTAAAAATCATGACCCCCGGGGGTAGGGTGGGGCCACAATAGAGAATCCAAGTTTTACATAGAAATATATAGAACAAATCTTCAAAAATCTTCTTCTCAAGAACCACTGGGCCTCAAAAGCTAAAACTTATACGGAAGCATCCTTGGGTAGTGTAGATATTAAATTCTTAAAATCATGACCCTTGGGGGTAGGGTGGGGCCTCAATAGGGAATCCAAGTTTTACATAAAAATATATAGAACAAATCTTTAAAAATCTTCTTCTCAAGAACCACTGGACCAGGAAAGCTGAAAGTTATGTGGAAGCATCCTTGGGTAGTGTAGATGTTAAATTGTAAAAATCATGACCCCACGGGATAGGGCGGGGCCACAATAGGGAATTCCAAGTTTTACATAGAAATATATAGAACAAATCTTTAAAAATCTTCTTCTCAAGAACCACTGGGCGAGGAAAGCTGAAACTTATGTGTAAGCATCTTGGGTAGTGTAGATATTAAATTGTTAAAATCATGACCCCCTTGGGTAGGACAGGGCCACAATAGGGAATTCCAAGTTTTACATAGAAATATATAGAACAAATCTTTAAAAATCTTCTTCTTAAGAACCACTGGGCCAGGAGAGCTGAAACTTAATTATGTGGAAGCATCCTGGGGTAGTGTAGATTCTAAAGTTTTAAAATCATAAAAGGGAAGGAGGTTGTTGGACATGATAGGTATAACAAGAGGGGGGATCGGGTAAAGAACTGCATCACCCAAGTTACTCAGGTGAGCGATGTGGCCCATGGGCCTCTTGTTTATAGATCTTTTGTTGTTAGTTGTTAATGTCAACAAGGTCATGGACAAATTCTTCTGAAGTCTACTTGTATTTATGATATTTGATGACTTAAACAATATTTGAAGAAGTTTCATAAGTTTATTTTATTGAATGTTTTGACAATTCAAGTTGAACTATGTCAATGTTCATCTCAATAATTAATTGAATTAATTAATTAATTTAATTAAATGTTAAATAATAAAAATGTCTTACATGCATAATATGATATGTTTACAGTATAATTTCTTATTTAGGTCAATTACACAGCCCTGTATACCTGATACTCTGTGATGTGCTAAAAATTTTGTGTTCTTGTTGCAATTGGTTGATTATACCCTTACAAGGAAAAGAATTTCTAATTGACTGTCCATATTAATGATTTTATTTCAGGTGACGAAAAGGGACGGCCATGTGGAAATTCTGACTCGGTGAAAGAAGTAAAAGAAGAAAAACAACAACAGCAGGAAATGATGAGGGTAAGACATTTTTGGGGTCCTACATCAAGCTGGGTGTGTCCTATAGTGAACACTCTATCCACCTGTCAGTAGGGCCTAAAATAAAATATTGTTTGTTAGCAGTTGCCCACTGACCCAATGAAAATGCACCCAACCCAAACTTTTTTTTTAGCCATTTTGTAAAATTATTTCTTTCTAAAATTTTTCAAGATATTGAAAGTGTTTCATTTGGGATTTTTTTTGTCTTTATCAATTAGTAGTTTATACCAAGAGTGGAGCTTATTCATGTATTATAGTAGGCCTATAAATAACTTTTTTTATATTTCTAACAAAAATTTGAAAACATTTTTTTTTCCAAAAAAAAAAAAGAATGCCTACACGCCTACCCAGTTTAAAAATTATAGGTTGGCAACTGGGAACAAAGAATTTTTTAAGCTTGGCCTAGTTTGAATAAAGTTTGCACAAAATAAGATTTTGCCAATATTTTTGAAAATGGTATGTCTAAACCACGAATTATTCTTTCTGTGAAAATTGTCTGATTATTATTTATATAAGCATATCTCCTGAAGCAAGCTTGCACCTTTTGAAAAATATATTGCTTAGGTGAAAAATCTGTGTATTTGTAATTTTGTAAGCTATCAAAACTTCATATTAATCTTTCCCTACGATCAATAATAATAATTTATTATTATTAGCCAAGGTTGGTAAAATTAATTGCACTGTATTTGTAATAGCTTCTTAACTGAGCTTTTTGTTGAAATTGCTAAAATAACATCTCGCAAAAAATAAATACCAATTTTTAAGGAAAAATCGCTAAATTTGCATCTGGCTGAAATTTCCTTTAATATGGTACCTGAATTCATCATTGGTTATTCATAAAGCTTAATTTTATAAGTACCGTATAAGTGAAAATTTTAGCGAGACGCAAATTTAGCGATTTTTCCTTAAAAAATGGTAATTTATTTTTAGCGAGATGTTATTTTAGCGATTTTAAAATGCACATTAAAGAAGCTATAACAAATAAAACACAATTAATTTTTAGCGATATTCTATTTTAGCGATCTCATCACCCTCGCTAATAATGCCAAAATTAAATCCTCGCTAAAAATTCTACTTATACGGTATTCAAAAAGTCTTTGTGAATTTTCAGAGTGAAGACACAGTGCTTTCAACTTCATCTCATTCTCCAAAAGAGACTGAAAAGTTAAACAACAATAATGCTACTGACAAGCAAGTTGATGACACAGGGACACACATCAATACACAAGTAAATGAAAGGCCTTATGAATGTACCTTCTGCTGGAAAACTTTCAATCGTCCTGAACATCTAAAGAAACACGTGAGAGTACACACAGGTGAGAAGCCTTATACATGTGATGTGTGCGGGAAGGCATTCAGTCAAACAAGTACCTTAAACACACACAAAAGGACACATACAGGTGTAAGGCCTTATAAATGTGAGGAGTGTGGGCGGGCATTCAACCAATCGGGTGCCTTACAGACGCACATGTTAACACACACAGGTGATAAGCCTTTTAAATGTGATGTGTGTGGACAGGAATTTATCCAGGGTAGTAACCTAAAGGCTCACCTGAGGATACATACAGGTGATAAACCATATATATGTTATATCTGTAATAAAGTATTTGGCCAATTAGGAAACTTGAAATTGCACTTAAAGATACATTCAAATGACAAAAAACCTTTTCAATGTGACTTGTGTGGGAAGGCGTTTCATAGATCAGGTGCACTACGTACGCATAGTAGGACACATTCAAACGATACACCTTACAAATGCGATGTCTGTGGTAAGGCATTCAAGCGCCAAGATTACTGTCAGAGGCACTTAAAGACGCACACAGCCGAAAATAAACCTCATAAATGTGAAGTGTGTGAAAAAGCCTTTAAGAAACCTGGGCCTTTGATGAGACACATGCAGACACACAAAAAATCTTTCAAATGTGCCATGTGCGATAAAATATACAAGCAGTCGGATAAATTACGTATTCACATGAGGAAGCACACAGGGGAGAAACCGTATAAATGTGATTTGTGTGAGAAGGCGTTCTCCGCACTTAAAATGCTACGGAATCACACGAGGGTACACACAGGTGAAAAACCCTATAAATGTGATGTGTGTGGGAAGGCTTTCTCACAGTCGTGTACCTTACGCATACACAGGAGGATACATACAGGAGAAAAACCCTATAAATGCGATTTATGTGAGAAGGCGTTCTCAGCAACATCAAAGTTACAGAGTCACATAAAGACACATACAGGTGAAAGACCATACAAATGTGATGTGTGCGGGAAAGGATTCAGGCATTCGAATGCTTTACAAGTACATAATAGGATCCATACTGGCGAGACTCCTTATAAATGTGATTTTTGTGACAAGGCGTTCTCGGCTTCAGGAAGATTAAAGAGTCACAGGAGGACACACACAGGTGAAAAACCTTATAAATGTAATGTGTGTGGGAAGGCAACCAACCGACCAGGTGAGTTAAAAATACACATGAGAACTCATACAGGTGAAAAACCTTACAAATGTGATGTGTGTGGGAAGGCTTTCACTGGAGCAGGGGTCTTAAGAAAACACCTCCGGAGGCATTCAGATGATAAAAGTGATACTTGTGAGAAGACATTCGAAAAGGCATTCCCTGTATCCGTACAGAAAATAGAGTGGACAGAACCCCCACAAATTCTTCACTCCAGTGATGAGAAAATGTCAGAATACATGCAGTGATTAACCTTTACAATGTGTCATGGAAATGCACTCAAGCATTCAAAGATTTTTACAGAGACAAATACATATAGGTGATGTTTCCAAAGAACAATCAAGCAGCCAGGAGACTCAAGGAAAAATGTTCTACATGTAGTATACCTCAGAAAATGTGTGAGAAGGTGTTTATGAAGTTGATTTATTTAAACATGTTAAAATATATAAAAATATATTTGTATGTGTCAATAAAATATGTATTCTAATAACATGACCAAAGTAAAGCCCCTGAGAAAGATGTCCTTCCCAGAAGAAAAAGTGATGGATAAGCATGCATAATGATGTTTTATACCACAATGAAATAGTGAAAAGAGACCAATAAACATGATAAAAAAAACCCAAAATAAACCTGTGATATATATATCATGTATTTTAAAAATATGTTTGGAAAAGTTATTTTTTGAAAAGGCATAGTTAATAAAGAATAAATGAAGATAAATATGTACAAGAAAAATTAGAAGAATGAAGGATATGGAGATAACGAACAGTATTCAATCTCAAAGTCCACAAAACAGTACAAATTAAGAGCAGAGCAGACACTGACCTCTGAAACATCAGAGGAGGGATCAGGTGCCATGGAGTAGTGAGCATCCCCTGCCGACCGGTCACAGCCGCCGTGTGCTCCTTGTCATGATCAGGATATAACGGAAATAATCCGTTGTCAATTAAGTGTATAAATAATGGACTAACAATTGGTATGAAAAACGTCAATCAGCATGCTACAAACAGTATAGCAGTACAAAGTGCGTATAGAGACGTAAGGAAATGCATTCAAAAAAAAAATATTTCATGTACCGTATATATGGCAAAGTTTTAAAGTAATATATAATGAAAGGATATTGACCTAAAACTATATGATTACAGATAATGTTCAATTAAAAATTGATAATAAGTGTTTTTTGTTTACTTAACCCAAATAAAAATAAAACAGATAATGTGGATGTTTTTAATGTCACCTAAGTCATACAGATGAGCTACATGTATTGCTCTCTGTACAAGTTTATGCAGGTTTATGGCTAGTCATGAAGTCTCTTCCAAAAGTTTTGGACGGATAACAACATACAATCATCCAGAAATGTTTATAGACAGATGATATTTTAATGATATATTTTTTTCAAGATTTTGTCATTGAGGTAATGCATCTTTTGCAAGTTAACTCACAAAAAATTGAGGTACCTTACCAGGCATTTGTCAGAGGCGTCGGAATTGGGGGGGGTGGGGGTGGGGGTGGTTAGTCCCTTTTTTTCCCCAAAGATAGATTTAGCCCCCCCCCCCTCTATTAATTTGCTTCCGACGCAAATGTTTGTGCAAGATACCAAGGGATGGTGTTGCACATATAATCCTTTTGGAAATAACTTAAAATGTAAAAGTCACAAATTTAAACATGCAGTAAATTAAAAATCAGTTTAGAAATCACATAGTAATAATAATTATGGGAGTCTTTCCTAGTACTTTTGGTAGCTGTGTTTTGATTGTTTAAGTTGACTGTATAGGGTCTTTGATGTTTATTGGCTTGTATTTCTAGGCCGTGCTCGTGTAGATTTCTTCATTTGAGTTAGCGACTCAGTTGGAAAAATGTCCTTATGGTCAGTTCATTTTTACAGTGGTTGAAAGTTTCATTGTTTACACGATCTGCATGTATTTAATTACTTATTATCTTTTTGCAATGGTAACATATCATTATTTAACAGTAATCTAGGTCTAAGCTTTAGTACCACGTTTTTCACAAGTTGCAGGATTTTGTTAGGAATATAAAGCTAGAATGTTGGTTTGATAGAGTAAAATTAGTTTTCTCTGTCCGATTAAGTCCAACATGGTCTAGGGGATTTGTAGATCTGATACAAGTTTTTCTAGAACCGCTATTCCATTTTTATACGGGTTGTTTATTTTCTAAATAGATACTTTTAAAGTCCATACTTGGCATTAACATTTTTTTGTTCAACCCTAGAATGTTGAGCTATAGTATATAGTTCATATAGGGTAATGCAGCACACTTTCCATATACTAGTATTTTTCAAATCGAGGTAAGGATTTTTGAGCATATACTTAAGTATGGATGCTTTGAACAATGAAGGGGCATATTAATAATTTTTCATACACATGTAGGTTTTTCACATTCCTCTTTTTTCCTATAATATCTTTCATAAATTTGTTATTAGCTCACCCGAGCTGAAGGCTCGAGTGAGCATTTCTTACCACATTTTGTCCGTCGTCCGCCCGTCTAGCTATCCGTCTGTAAACTTTTCACATTTTCGACTTCTTCTCAAGACCCACTGGGCCAATTTTAACCAATCTCGGTGCAAAGCATCTTTGGGTTAAGGGGAGCCTAAATTGTAAAATTAAAGGGTTACGTCCCTTCACAAGGGGAGATAATCAAGGAAAAGGCAGAAAAAGAGTGGGGTCATTTAAAAATCTTCTCAGGAACCACGTGCCAGGCTATAGCTAGGAAAGCTGAAAATTATGTGGAAGCATCCTGGGGTAGTGTAGATTCTAAATTTAGATATTTAAACATTTTAAATAAAATTTGGCAGTTGTCAGAGAAACAGATGTTTGAACATGCTGGGAGACATGTAATCATTTATTAACATTTAAGAACCCTCTCTACGCTGCACACTAAAGAGTTCTGATTCTAATTGGTATTTTTCTGCAGTTATAGTGATCTTCCCTTAGATCTAAATCCTATGAAGTAGAAATGTACAATATATTACTCAATTTGTAGTTAATTATGCCCTCTTATGCCCCCGTAAACGAAGTTTCGGGGGTATATAGTTTTTGTCGTGTCCGTCTGTTTGTATGTCTATCTGTCTGTCTGTCTCTCTGTTTGTCCGCAAAAAAATTAACTTTGCCCATAACTTTTGATTTAGTGGAGCTATGACTTTCATATTTCATATGTATATTCCTTGTGACAAGACCTTTCTTTGGGTACCACCAAATTTGACATTTTGACCTTGACCTTGGAGTTTGGCCCACTTTTACATGAAAATTTTAAACTTTTACTTTGTCCACATCTTTTGAAGTGTAGATACCAGGACATTTATACTTCACATATGTAATGTTTGTTGAAAGACCTTTCATTGGATACCAACAACCCTGACCCTTTGACCTTGACCTTGTAGATTTCGGAACTTGTGATAAACTATAACCTTGGCCATAACTTTTGAACGGTAAGTGATATGGCTTTCATACTTCATATATGTAAGCCTTATGAAAAGACCCTTTATTGGATATCAAGAACTTGACCCTATGACCTTGACCTCTGAGATTGACCTACTTTTGAAAAAGCAAACCTTGACTGTACCTTGTATAGAGTTAGGGCTAGTGCTTTCAATCTTTACATATTTGATTCTTTTGACAAGACCTTCCATTTGATAACAAGAACTTTGACCTTTAAATTTGACCTTCTTTTTAAATAAATGAATGTTGGCCTTAACTTCTGAATGGTTAGGGCTAGGGCTTTCATGATCTACATAAGAATTCTATGTGGCAAGACCTTTCATTTGATACTTATTACATTGACCTTGACCTTGGAGATTTTTGTACTTATTAAAAAAAAACTTTAACATTGGTTTACTTTCAAATTTCTCAATTGTTTTGTGAGAATACCCTACTTTTGGTACCAATTAATTAAATTTGCATTTAAGAAAAGCTTAATCTTTGCTATGTTGCCATACGGGGGCATCAGTGTTTTACAAACACATCTTGTTTAATTATTCTTAACATGACCCCCGGTGGTAAGGCAATGCATAGAAATATATCTATTGACAAACCCAAATGGAGATGGTTTACTGCTTTAACAAGAAGTTACACAGAATTCTAACATTTTACTCATTAATATTTTATTTTCTATATATTTCTACATGACATAGAACATATGTCATAAAATAAAACTTATTTCTTCTTAAAATAGCAGGTGAAATATAAGGATATTTTGTTATTTTCCGCCAGAATTAAGCAAAGCATATCCGAACAGATTATTATAAGTGTTTGATGTGCTTGAAAGGCGTAATGTATTTCTCAAAGAAAAGATGCAACAATATAAATGTATGTTTTTGTCAACTTTTATGTAAACTTATAATATGATATTAATTCAATTAATTAATTTTCAGTATATCATATTGTATTAATTTTGAGTCCTTTTGATTTCCCTTTGGGTCCTTTTATATTCCATTTTGGGTCCTTTTGGGTAAATCGACGCACCCCTGTTTTTTTAAGAACGGGATCGGCATTTTGATTTGTTTACAAAAAGTGGGACAGGTACATTGTATGTTTATTTAAGAAATAAGGTATCATTTTTAAACATCTATCAGGATATAAATACGTGTTGGTCACGAGATTAAATTCCATAAAGCCCGAAAGGCTTTAAGATGAATTTTATTTCGTACAACCCGTATTTATAGCCCGATAGATGTTTCAAAATAGTAAGTTATTACTTATATTTACATTTGTGACTTATTCATACTTTATATTTGCCTGATTGTGACTTTTAACGTGTGAAATGCGTTATTTTTCAAACCCAACGGCATGTATGTAATCCACTGAACGCGCGTCGACCCTTTATGACGTCACTGAGAAATTACGTCAAACGATTATCCATACGCACATCTTTGACCTCTTGACCCCGTACCTGTATTTGTACAGATATAGATACACATTGCTTTCAATAGTGTTATATAAAGGAAAACATTTGCAAATGTAAATATATATGTTTACACGTTAATAATCTTTTATTTATAACAAATAATATCAATGCAACGAATAGAGATTTCGCTAGAAAAAGATGTCCAAAGGGGGAGGTAGGTTGCACAGTACAAAGGTGCCTGTGCACAGTATAACTCACTCCTGATGCAAAAATCTAGGTGTAGGTAAACTTTTATCAACACCTGACATATTTTCAACCTACATATCACAGACACCTGAATTTTTATCAATCAGACGCACAATCAGCCAAATACCGAAAAATTATACCCCCTCTATATACATGTATATAAATAGGGAGAGGGTGTAGAATTTTTTGATATTTGGTATATTGTCATTATTGAGAGACTGATTCAATGGTTGGTAAAAATTCATCAACATACAGGTCCATCACAATCTCTTGATTAAACTATTTAGCTTAAAAAAGTGTAACAGGAAGGGAGAAAATGTATGGCTTGACCGGTAATCGAACCCCGGATCCTTGCATCTCCAGGCAGGTGCTCTACCAACTGAGCTATATCCAGGCCGATAATGGCCCAAACCATTACATTCCTCCCTCATTTGGCCCCTAAAGACCCCAACCCTGACTCATCCTGGTCAAGGTATAGGGTTTGTTCGCCTAATCTACCTGTTCGGCGTATTCACAGGAGTCCATTCATGCAGAGTCCATTTGCCCGAAATATTGTTCGCTCGATATCTTGTTCACCCAATATCTGGTTCACTCCACTGCAATTATATATACTTGTATATTTATAATTACAGTGGAGCCTCATTTATCCGGATGCTTTGGTTCTAGTCATTTTGTCTGCATATGTGAAGTGTCAAGATATCTGAATTACCAGTTAAACAAGACAAAATAACATTAAAAAATTTTGTTCCTGACTTCCAATGAAAAGTCATCCGGATACTGATCGAAGCATCTGGATATCTGAAGGTCCACTGTATATAATTATTAACATATATTATGTATTCTAATTAATTTCGAACTTATGATTTTTTTAACATTCCGATACAAAGAATAATGTTTGTTTAGTCTTAATCAATTTTTTATTTAATTGATTCTAATGTTTTTTGAAGGCTATCAATGATAATTAGGGGGATACATCTGTGTTATTTTTATGCATTGGGCTAATTTATTGTTTTAAAAACATGCAGTTACAGGACTGACAAGTTAATAAGACTATTATGGAATTGAACAGCTGATGATGGTTTTACCTTTGAAAACAATTCAATAGATACTTATTCTATATTAAATATGGTGAACGGACCCGAGCCTGTGCAAACAAGTTTTAGGATGAGCAGAGTCTTGGCAACAGGAATTAGGGCAAACGGCGTAATGGGCAAATGAACAAATAACCCCTGATCATGGCACCAAATATGTAACGGGAACCAGTTTATCTATGGCTGTAAAGTGTAGGGGTGGGACGATACAACTTTTTCTATACATGTATTGATACATATAACGATATTTGAGCCAGGATACTATATATATCACAATGTGTTAAATTGCTTCTAAAATCTCTTTTTCCATTGAAATAAACAAATTATTTCTTTGCAAATATAAGAATACATGTAATTTATTCAAAATAGTTGTTTATATGTTGTAAAACAAAAATATATATTTTACTGAAGTGGTGTTAATAATTATTTATTTCGTATCTATATTTATATTTAGCTTATTTATCTTATATATTAAACCCATAATGTTAAACCCATAATGTTAAATAAACAAAGAAAAAAAAACTCAGATTTTTTGGGCGATATTTCGATATTTCTTCATATGTACATGTATTGATATGCGTATTGTCCTTACATATATCTCGATATATGGTCCCAGCCCTAGTAAAGTGTGCTCAGTCTGCCCCAAAGTGTATACATGTATAAATGACAAACTTAATTTTTAAACTTTAAAAGTAATACTAAGGAAAAGACTAAGCCCAGGAGCTACATGTATGTAATTAGCATAAAACTGGTTCCTGTTACAAAAGCTTGATAAAGCTATTGCTTCTCATTGTGATGAACTGTTACCAATAAATTACCCTGTTGGTCGTAACTGACCTCCTTTTTCACTTCATTCAAGAAATACTTAACTGTGTGGATTTTCATGAACATATTACATGTACATTTTTTTAGAGAGAGTTCTGCAAATGAATTAATTGTTTAATCTGTTACAGGTTTTGGACTAAAGCAATAATAAGGGCATGACGACAGAGGTCAAGACTTCGCATTCACCTTGTACTAAAGACCTCATGCCTAAAATTGAGTCCACTGGTGTGTATAGGTATAGAATATGTAATGAAAATACTGTTGGTTTTCCTTAACTTGAATCTTAAATACAAGGAAAATATTGGTCAGATGTTATTCATCAGTCCCAAGCACATTTTTATATTTTTTTCTTTTCACATTTTGTTATCTCAAATTGTTCGATCCTTTTTTTTAAAGTTCAATATATGTTTAATTCTAGTTTAATTGCATTTGAAATAATGCAAGTTTGATTATACATGTATATTACCAGACTGAGAGGATCATCCTTAGGTCACAGGCTCAAATCCCACTGTGGGACATGGAGACTGGATAAGACCATTTGAACAGAGGTCATGGCAGACGTAGGCACGATAAAGATCCTTCACCTGCTCAATGGCCTTGAGTGCCTAGTAAAGTCTAAACTTGAAGCCCTTTATACGAGGGTTGATCCAAAAGTTCGTGGAATTTCTTTCTAAAATTTTATCGTGATTTGATGAAAGCAAACAACAGGCATATTCATAATATAGAGTCATAATGCAACAATATTGGAAAATTTCACCACTTTCCAATTACCAATAAGGTCACACGAGCTTTCTGAAAATTGATAGTTGTGAAACCCGGGGGAGACTTCGACGTAACGTCAAGTAAGATATGTCACGTCACGTAATAGAAGCATCTCACCCTTATGTCCGATTGGAATACGTAATTCTACAAAATGCTGCCTTTTTCTCCATTTTTTTTAAAACAAAGCCTGGGTATCCTCTTGCATCAACTTATCTTCTTTTTCACTCATATTTCAAAAAACTACCCATCTTCCCATGTGAAGTTCCAATTTCAGTAGCAATGTCAAGAACAGTACGTCAGCCGACAACGTCCATTAACGCTTTTAATTTGTCAATGGGAATAGGCACTTAAAGCAGAGCCTCCAAAAAGCGACCACACCTTTGATCAACGTCCGTGGAAGTTCTATTTTTCTAAAAATTCTTATGCCACTGGAACACAGTAACTAAATGCATTTACCCAAGCCTACGTCAATACTATACGCGTTTAAGACGTTGTTTAATAACTTAAAGATGAACAATAAATCATCAACTAATAAACTAAATATCCAGTAAGATCAGAAAAACTCTTACACAAAGGTTTAGAAAAGATCAAGCAGTCATAATAATGACATAATTTTCGTTTTATTTACCACATAGGGCGGTTTAATTCTCATTTCACGTATTAAGAATTAAAATGATAATAAACGCGTTAATGTCTCCCCCGCATTTCCAAACAACCGTTTCTATGGCAACTGCCATAGAGTTACTATCAAAAATATTTAAAATGTTTTTTTAATTTTAAATATTCATCAAATGTCTTTATTTTTATTTGTCATTTTCAACTAATTCCACTAAATAATAAATAAAATATGAAGAAATTCCACGAACTTTTGGATCAACCCTCGTAGATAGATGGTGATGGCTCTATTTGAGTGAAATATTCTTGAATTGGACTTTAAACAATTTACATATAGCTCTTGTGCTTGGGATGAGCCCAAAAAATTTTATAGAAGTAAAACATGGTTGTCAGAATTTCTTTAAAGAAAAAAATTCCTTACAAGAGTATCAGGGTGAAACATGTACTAAATTCTATGATGTGCTTAACACCATGTATTTGTAGCTGCTGCACTCTCTAAGACTGCATAAGGAACCCTATTCAATTTATTGAATGAATTCTTTTAAAGAAAAACAGATCATTCAAAACATCCTTACTTACATGTATCACTCCTCTTGGTTGTAGTAAAGAAGGAGCCACTTGGGATTTCTGATTCTGTGGAGGTGGAAGAAAATCAACGGCTTGTAATAGTGAAGGTAAAGATTTTTTTGGTTCTGTCTCTCAAGATGGTGCACTTAGTTTCCTAAAGTATTCACTGTATCCACTTGTCTTTCTCTCTGAACATCATACAAAGTTTGCAACACAAAGAATTTTCAAAAAGGTAAACATCTAATCTGCAAATTTGCATGAAATATAGTAAATATCAAATAGTATTAAAATTCAAAGTAGACTGAGAGGAATCATGGACCTCCAAATTCTGAAAACATGAGAAATGGGATCAGGTGCCATGGAGGTTTGAGCATCCCATGACAAACAGTCACTTTTGCCTTGCTACTTGTCATGTAGTTTAAATTATTTTATCGTTGAATTGGTGTCTTAGATATCCATACACATGATACACATGCAAAAATGCCTATTTTTCAACTCATTCAGTGCATATTTATATCCCGGCAAACATTTTTTTAGCTCTTCTGAGCATCACCCTAGAAGCAAAGGAACTGGTCTCAAGGTACATTTGTAACTTCAACGTCAGCCAAAATTTTTAAGCTTTGATATTTTGCTTACTATAAGGACTAGGGTTATGAAAGAGTAAGAGCCACTTTGGGCCTTATTTGGCCCTGAGAATATCTGAAAAATCAAAAATGCTCTTTTTTGGTTACAAATGCAGTACCGTATAAGTAGAATTTTTAGCGAGGATTTAATTTTGGTATTATTAGAGAGAGTGCTGACATCGCTAAAATTGAATATCGCTAAAAATTAATTGTGTATTATTTGTAATAGCTTTTTTAGTTAGCATTTTAAAATCTTTAAAATTACTTTCTCACTAAGGCCACACCAATAATTTTTTTTTGTTCGTCAAACCTGCACGCTCATATTTAAACAAAACTATACAAATAATATTATATGTAATTTAACATCCCCGCACCATGGGAATTCTATGTTGTTTTCTGTCCCATTTCCGCTCTATTTAGCAACCTTTAATCAACTAACACTGCAAATCAGAAAAAATATAATTCTCCGCTCAAATTTTTTCATGCCACGCCTAAAAATTTTGCCTACTATAAAGTTATAATATTATTATTTAACTGCTAGCCAGCTCGAACTTTTTTTTATCAAATGTCCGATGAACAAGAAATTAAATTGGTGTGGCCTAAAAATAAAAGATTTTTGGTAAAAATGGCTAAATTTGCGTCTTGTTAAAATTTCCACTTAAAAGATATAAATAGTTGAAGTATTTTTTAAATATTTTATATAGAGCACAACCTCTGATCGAAAATATGCAAATACATAATGAAAGATCTGTTCCTGAAGGTCAAAAACATGTTTTATTTTTTGGATTGTGGGCTGTGCTCATATTTTAATTTTTTGCTAAAGGTAGTCAAATATGTATGTTTTCTGCAAATTTCAAGAATTTTGCAAATTCTCAAAGCCTGTTTTCCAATATCTGAATTTTCAAAAAGAAATTGTATTATAGGAAATAAAAGCGCCAAGTGTCTACTTTATTTTGATATATGAAATGGGAAAGAGAGTGATAGTTAATAAATTGATAAAAGAACAGGGCCAATTCATGCATCAAGTGAACCTAGCTCTTTTGTCAGTTGATGCATCTTAGAACTTTGTATGAAGTTTACATAAAAGTAGGTCAAAGTGACCTATATTTTTCAAAATTTTTTGCCATTCTTTTTCAAAATGATTGAGAGGCATATTTTTGAGTTTTTTAAAAGCGTTTATTTATCAAACTTTGTCAGTTGGTACATCTTGGGTCCTCAAAGTACATCAACTGAAAAATAGGTCACTGTGACATACTTTTGAATTTTATAACTATCTTTTTCAAAGTATTTAAAGTCATTATTCCAATATTGAGAGGTGAAGAATCATTCAATGATTCAAGTTAATGCAACTTAGGGTTTTTATACTAGTTGAGCTTTTCCAGGCATAGCCATTCAATTTTAATCTTCTTGAGGCATAATTTGGACATTTTAAGGCTTTAATATATGATCATAAAAAAATTGTCAGTTGATACATCTAAAGTCCTTGAATTTCACAAATAAGTATATGTCTTTTAGCATTATGAAGAAATAGAAGTAAAAGTAGAGTCAAGCTCATTGCAAAGCAACAAGAAGATCATCTGTTGGAGCTTCAAATAGGTTGAAGTGACCTTGAGTCAAGGTCATGCCATATTCTGACGTTTTCTTCAATCTTTTAAAGGGTTACAATTTCCAATGTTTCACCTGTAGAGAGACTATATCCCCTGATTCCGACATTAAACTTGTCCCACTGACAGACTCTAGATCTGTAGGAAACGCCATCTGCCTATTGCCGACTTGACAAAGGAAGTTCACATATATTCTTTCAGACTATTCTTCCAAAACGTCTTATCCTTTGTGACCTTGAACTTGAGTCAAGGCCATGGAGCGATGATCCACTCATATCAAATAATTATGTTAAAGTATTATAAAACTGTCTTTTTTGTTCTCTTTAGAGTGTGAAAATTATTCAAAGGAAAACTTTTAAATCTTTTTTTGATAAAACTTTTGCAAATTGTGGAGTTTTTACATCAAGTATGCATTATTATTACATGAAATATCAAAGAAATTTTGTTATAACTGAGATTCAATTTTCACCCACATGTTTGTTGCACTGTAGTTCACCCATCTTCTTTGTTACTTTTTTATGTACATTCATATAGACTGAAAAATGTTTTGAATTTTTATTCCATATCTGAAAGCACATCTTTAAAACAGTGTTGAGGTTAGAGTATACTTTTCTCTAATATTACAGCAACATTTTGATAGAATTTGCCCATGTATGGACAGCAACAAAAAGTAGTGAGGGGGAATGCAGCATCCAAATTAAAGTTTAAGTTTTGAAATTAAACACCCCATCCCCCTGCATATGTATTACAGACCTGCAAACAAAAAGCACTGATCCTACACTGAGAGTCCTAGGGTACTACATGTAATTAATATCATCAAACCATTATCTTCTTATAGTATTTTGGTATATTTACAGAGGGAAAAGGCAGAGTGCTTGTCCAATTCACATCTTCAAAGTGAGGCTGAAAAGTCAACAGTCTATACCAGTAGTGATCATCAGACAATGGGTTTAGAAAGAAACATCATTGTCAATAACACACCTCATGATTGTAAGATTAAAAGTGAAGTATTCAACAACCCCAGTACTGATAAACATTCTGGTGATTCGCCTTTTAATTGTGGTGTATGTGCTGAAGCATTCAAAGATTCAAGTGCCTTATTGAAACACATCGAAAACCATACAGATGGTAAAGTGTATCAATGTGAGGTCTGTTTAAAACACTTCAGTCGGCCTGGTTACTTATACAAACATAAGAAAATACATACTGGAGAGAAACCCTATAAATGTGATGTTTGTGGAAAGGCTTTCAACCGAACAGATGTCTTGCAGAAACACATGACGACACATACAGGTGATAAGTTATTCAAATGTGATGTGTGTGGGAAGGCATTTGGCCGTTCAGATACTTTAAAGAAGCACATGAGGATACATACAGGTGATGAAATCTACAAATGTGATGTGTGTGAGTTGGCATTCAACCAATCAGGGACCTTACAGAAACACATGATGATACATACAGGTGAAAAACCTCATGCATGCGATGTGTGTGGGAAGGCATTTAGCCGTTCAGATGTATTAAAGAAGCACATTAGGACACACACTGGTGAGCAAATATACATATGTGATGTGTGTGGGAAGGCATTCAGCAGGCCAGATAATCTACAGATACACATGAGGACACATACTGGTAATAAACCTTATAATTGTGATATGTGTGGGAAGGCATTTAACCAGTTGCCGAACTTAAAGAGTCACATGAGGACCCATACAGGTGAAAAACCTTTTAAATGTGATGTGTGTGGGAGGACATTCAACCAGTCGCAGGCTTTAAAGAGTCACATGATGACACATACTGGTGATAAACCTTATAAATGTGATGTGTGTGGGAAGGCATTCAACCGATCACATACTTTAAAGAAGCACATGAGGACACATACAGGTGAAAAACCTTATAAATGTGATGTGTGTGGGAAGGCATTCACTCAGTCAAGTACCTTACAGAGGCACATGAGGACACATACAGGTGAAAAACCTTATAAATGTGATGTGTGTGGGGAGGCATTCAACCAGTCGCATGCGTTAAAGAAGCACATAAAGATACACACAGGAAATAAACTTTTCAAATGTGATGTGTGTGGAAAAACATTTAGCCTATCAGGCCAGTTGCAAAAGCATGTAAGGACACATACTTGTGATAAGCCTATTAAATGTGATGTATGTGATAGGGCATTCTACGACTCAGGTGCTCTACAGAAACACATGAGGACACATACAGTCGATAAACTCTGTGACGTTTGTGGAAAGGCCTTCAGCAATTCAGGGGAATTTCAAGAACATATAAAGATACATACAGGTGACAAACCTTATAAATGTGATGTGTGTGGAAAAGCCTTCAACTGCTCCGATACGTTAAAGGAACACGTGAGCACACATACAAGTGATAGGCCATATGAATGCGATGTGTGTTGGAAGGCATTTTATCGTCCAGATGCTTTACAGGGTCACATGAGGATACATACAGGTGATAAACCTTATAAGTGCGATCTGTGTGGAAAGGCATTCACCCGACGTGATTCCTTACAGAGTCACACGAGGATACACACAGGCGATGAACCTTTTAAATGTGAACTATGTGAGAAGACATTCAAGTATGTAACGGATTTAAAAAGACACATTACGATACACACTGGAGATAAACATTATAAATGTAAATTCTGTAAAAGAAAGTTTTGTAAAAATTCGGATTTAACTAGGCATCTGATGATACATACAGGTGATAAACCTTATAAATGTGACGTGTGTGGGAAGGCTTTTAATAGATTATATCTCTGTAAGGCACACATAAAGACACATACAGACGAAAACCCATAGTATTGTGATACATGTATAAGTGGAAAAATTATTCACAACTAGTATTTCAAGTAACTTACAAAAACAAATGGTGGCGCATTCTGGGGGAATGAAAAACCTGACAAAAGTGATATTTATGGAAAGTCAAGCCAAAGGGAACCATAAACGTAAAGACATAACCGTTTTGAAAGCTCATATCGGAATACTTGTGGAAACTTATGTGATGGTGTGATCGAAGCAAATTGATGAGACACCTCACAAATTTGATTTTTGTGGTAAAAGTTTCATTAGAATGTTAAAGAGGATTCTTACAGGGAATTAAACTTTACATTGCGTAATGTGCGGGAAGTCATTTAGGCATTCTAAGTTTTTATGGGGACAAATCAAGATGCGTATTGGTGATAGACGATTTAAAGATTTTGAGAGACACCTCTTGTGTTTGAGAAGGCGTGTTGGTAGATGATTAATTTAAATACTTTAAAATATGTGTAGGTGGCAACGTGAATAGCGTAAAGAAGTAAAGCGTGAAGAAAGAGGTTCATTAAAAGAAAAGGAAGATGAAAACACATAATAACGTTTGATATAAACTTTTGTGCGACAGTAAAGGATAATCAAATAAATATGTTCATTAACAAATGACTATTGGATGTGCAATGCATAGAGATTACATGTACATAAATGCTGATGTATTTAAATTGTTTGTGTAAGGAGAAGGGTGTAAGGAAAAGTGGTTCGGAAATTAAGAATGTTAAAATATAAATATAATGCTTGTGGAAGGATAAATCATAATATAAGAATTCAAAGAATGAAAAGAGACTTCATAAAAGAATATATATGAAGAGGTAAACCTCGTTTAAGTGTGATATATTTGGAGAGACTTTTGTTAAAATAACACAATTGAAATGCAACATATGGAGATAACGAACTGTATTGAAATCAAAAAAGTCAATAAAAAAATCCAAAATTGGAACAGAGGAAACACGAATCTCCAAAACATCATAGGTGGGATCAGGTGCCTCTTAGAAGTAAGCATCGGCTGCTGAACGGTCACACCCGCCATGTGTTCCTTGTCATGTTCGGGATATAACGGGAACATCCGTCGTCAATTCAAGAACAAAAAAAATGTATGAAAAAGTCCGTCAGCATTCCCTTAGATGATAAATTGTATTTGCTGACAATACCATATCTAGAACTTAGGAAATGATGACATTAAACAAAAATGCGTATATTCTTGTTTCATCGACTAACTTTACTTACTTAATCCTCTTCGTGCTGGATAGCACATAAGGCCGTCACCAGAGACCTCCATGTTGGCCTGTCCTGTGTCCATTTCTCTATCTGTCCCCATGTCCAGCGGTTCTTTCCCATCTCTTTCTCTACAGATCTTCTCCATGTTTCTTTTGGTCTTCCTCTCTTTCTCTTGCCAGGTAGTGCCCATTTCAAAGCAACCCTTGGGATGGAAGTTGGGTACATTCTACATGCATGCCCAATCCACAGCCATTTTCTTCTCTTTATAACTTGAGATAGAGGGGTGGTGTTGGTCTTTTTGTACAGCTCCTCATTTGAGATGGTATTTGGCCAGAAGATGCGCAGTATTCTGCGAAGGCAGCGTGTCTGGAAGGTATCTAGCTTTTTTGAGATGGTTTTAGTAACTTTCCATGCTTCAGCACCGTATAGGAGGACCCCAAGCACGTTGCTCTTGAAGATCCTTATTTTGGTGTTTGTGCTGATCTTTGCTGACCTCCAGATATTTCTTAGTGCAACATACGCTCCTGTGGATTTTGAAATTCGAGCTAGTACATCTACCTCTTGAGTTCCCATCTGTGGTGATCTTGCTTCCTAGATAGACAAATTCTGAGACTTCTTCTATTTCTTCATTATTTAAGGTGATGGGCTCCTCTGATTTAGTATTGACCTTCATGACCTTGGTCTTGGTGTTGTTAATTTTTAGGCCAATCTTCCTTGCTGTTTCTGCTAGTTGTTTTGTTTTTTCTTGCATGTCACAATGGCGGTGTGATAGCAGTGCTATGTCGTCTGCAAAATCTAGGTCTTCTAACATCTCTGTCATGGCCCAAGTACTTCCCGTCCGCTTATTCTTGATGGTTTGTCGCATAATCCAGTCAATGCAGAATGTAAAGAGAAGAGGGGAGAGCAGACATCCTTGTTTTACTCCAGTCTGCAATTTGAACTCCTCTGATAGGTTTGATCCACAGATAACTCTGGCATTTAGGTCTGTGTACAACATCTTAATGATGGAGATAATTTTATCTGGGATCCCATAATGACTGAGAATTTTTTCTAAGGCTAGGCGATTAACACTGTCAAAAGCTTTTGTAAAGTCGGTGAAGTTGATGTAAAGTGGAGAGTTCCACTCATTGCTCTGCTCTAGTATTTGTCTTAGAGTGAATATCTGGTCAGCACATGATCTCCCCTTTCTAAATCCTGCCTGTTCTTTCCGCAGTAGAGGGTCTGCTATGTCTGTGATTCTGTTCAATATCACTCTGCTTAGCACTTTCATGGATATCGAGAGCAACATTATCCCTCTATAGTTGTTGTTGCAGTTTGAAAGATCTCCTTTTTTTGGAAGTTTTACAATAAGGCCTGTTCTCAAGAAGGTTGGTGTCTCTTCTGATTCCCAGATGTTCTGTAGAATATTTGTCAAGATGGTAGGTGTCCAGTATTCTTCGGCCTTGAGGAGCTCTGCATTTATCTGGTCAATGCCAGCAGCCTTTCCATTTTTAATCTCTTTATTGCCTTTTTATCTCTTCTATACTGGGTGGATCTGTATTAATATCCAATGTGTTGATGGCTGGTGTTATCAGGACCTCATTTCCTGTATCATTTATATCATTTATATTGAACACTTCCTCAAAATGTTCTTTCCATCGATCGTTTCTGTACATCTTCTTCTTTGGATAAGACGTTTCCTCTTTTATCTTTTACTGGTAAATCTGCTGTCTGAAATTTACCTGGTAGTTTTTTGGTGATACGATAGAGGGTTTGCATATCTTGTTTCGTAGCCGCTTGTTCTGCTTCATTAGCTAGTTTTTCAGTGTATGCCTCCCTGTCTGCTCTTGCATTTTTCTTAACTTCTTTGTCTATAGTCCGATATTCTGCTTGGAGCTGATCTTTTTGTCTCTTTGATTTAGTGGACAGGATTTTCTTTTTCTTTTCTGTTCGTTGTTCTACTATTTTCCTTGTGTTCTCCGAGATCCATTCCTCTTTTTTCCTCTTTCTTGGGCCAAGTATTTGCTGCGCATTTTCTAAGAGTATCTCATAAAATGTTTCTATATCAATTTCATCTGGGTGTTCCATAAGAGCCTCAAACTTGTTCTGCACTTTTAATTGAAAAGATCTCATAACTTTTGTATCTTTAAGCTTTTGGATGTTAATAGGAGCCAGTCTTTGATCTTACTTCCTTGATTTCCTTAGCTTCAGCTTGACTTTAGCGAGTACTAATGAGTGGTCACTTCCCACGTCTGCTCCTTGCTTTGCAACCACATCCAGGAGGCTACTTCTCCATCTTAACATGATCAATTTGGTTTTTCGTATGTCCATCTGGGGAGTTCCATGTTGTCTTATGGATATCTTTCTGCATAAATATAGTTCCACCAATTATCAACGCAGTTATGATAAGGCTGTCCGAAGGCTTAAAATGTCTTGAAAATATACATTATATTTCGAGCTAGATTTTAATCTTAATATGCAATCCTTGTATGAAATTGTAGTCAATCTTAGATTATAGTCTAATCAGGTTTTATTTTAACGCATTTTTGTGATGTCATATGATATGACTGTGTTGATCACGTGACGGAGATTTATGATATTCCTAATTGTTGCACAAAAATCGCTTCGGCACAAGTGCAAAACAAAAATATTCTGTAAAGTTTGTAAAATAGATCAATTCATCGTGATCTCTGGTACATAGAATGTGCTGGGGGCTGGTTTGATTTTTTACTCGTTTAGAAAACATTTTACGAAAAATTCAACTTACCAACACAAGAAGGGGTATTTTCCGCTCTTAATCGCGATTTATACAAAAATTGCTAAACTACACACAATCCCCCAGCAATATTCTGTTAGAAGACATTCTTGTATTCTAGATTCACACAGAATATCTTTGATTTGTCCTTGTTTATCACTTGTGCCAGTCCAATATAAACACGATTCATAAATCCTAACTCTGTCTACGGACGTGCAAGGGGAGCGTTTCACACATTATATTTTTCTATAGTTTGAATATGTGCATATCGGAATAGCAAAAGAAATAGGGATATTTAAATATCAAATGTTCAAAATCCCAACGGCACACTCGAGCTTGAAAATCAATCCTTACACCGGAATGAAAAACAAGTCCCCAAAACAAATCTACATGCCATGTTATAATTATGACACTTTCCCCGTCATGCCAGCCAGGAATGCAGTGACTTGACGTCCTATCTATTATGACGTCATATTTAGGTAGTTCAGAGAAGTTACTAAAGTTTGAACAGTTTGATTTTTACGGGCAGCCTTATCCTAGCTGCGAAGTTGTTTTCTTGGCAGAAAGTGCACAGTCTCTCTCCATTGCTGTTACATTCTCCTAAGCCTTGCTTACCCATGATGCTATCTCTTCCTTGGTTGCTTTTCCCAACGTCCAACTTTTGCATTTAAGTCTCCCAAGATAAGTAGGACATCGTGAGATGGTGTATTGTCTACTATTTCTTGTAAGCTGTCGTAAAAGGAGACTTTTTCGTCGTCTTCTGCATCATCTGTCGGTGCATAGCATACCACTACTGTAAGTTTGGCAAAGGCTGAGTTGAATCTTGCTGTTATGATTCGTTCATTCACTGGCTTCCATTCTAATAGACTTCTATCAACTTCTTTTGTTGTGATTATTGCTACTCCTCTACTATGATGTTCATCAGTTCTTCCAGAGTAGAGTATTTGATGTCCTGACACTAGTTGTATTGATCCCTTGCCTGTCCATCTAGTTTCACTTACTCCAAGAAGCTCGATCTTGTAATGCTCCATTTCTCTCACCACTTGAGTCGTTTCATCGACTTGTTTGTCAATATTTTACTTCGTTTCAGGAATTGAACGTGCATACATAGAGCATGCTTTTGCAAATCAAATTAATTGAAGGATATAAACTCTGTATGTAGGTGAAGGAGGTATATTGCTGCATAAGGGAAAGTTAAAGTCATCAAGTTTATCATAGAGCTTGGTTGTTAGATTACCATTGATGTCTTTTTCAAGTTAACTATTTAAATATGAAAAAAATTAAAGGTGTCAAACTCTCTGGTATCTATTATCTGAAGCTCACCAAGATATACTAGCATATCGCATCGATATAAAATTGAATAACCTTTTTAATTGACAATACGCTGTCGATATATATATATACATGTGTATATCTAAATGTCAAGTTGAAGGCCACAGCAAGTGTTCTCTTCTTTTGAAGCATAAGATTTTGCACAAATTCTGCTTCATACGCATAAAATATAAGGTTTGCTAATAATGGGCACAATTGGTACCCATGGGATTCCGAATCCCATTAGATTGTTGGAAGACCTCATGTCTCTAAAACAATAGATATAGTTAATTAGAAACTGGTGCATCTTTTTGATGTCGACTTCAGTGAACTTCTCTATATTCAGAATGTTTTTGAACACAAAAAATGACAAGGAGGTTTTCACTGACATTTGGCGCGAATCTGGGCGTACTTATAAAGATGAAATTTTATTGCAGTGTCAGCCCTTACCAAAGTAAAATTATTGCAGCAATATTGCTGCTATATTGCGGCAACATTACAGCAACACATTCTTGTCACCAGAAACAAGCTTTTGAGTTAGTGAAATATCAACGCTAGCGGCAACAACTTCTGGTGACATTCTGGCAATACTGCCAGAAAAAAAAAACTTTCTGGCGGTATTGCCAGAATGTTGCCAGAAGATTTAGGATTACCCATTAGGCATTTCTGAGCATGCTCAGTCATTTACTTCCTCTTTTTAAGTAAATGGAGGGAATTCAAAGACAAGCATGTTTTGCTTCATATATTATTGAATGGTATCAAGTGAATTGGAGTTGTGAACTGTGTACAATAGGATTAGACATGATGACTAGTAAGTCTGAATAATGTGGAATAGCCAGAAAAAAAGAATTTCAGCGGTTTCCATGGCATGGCCTTTTGAAAGAATGGTAGGAATGTCCAACTCTGTTTTCATGGTATATATATCAGACTAGGTAAGTCAAATCCATATTCTTTTTTAGATGAATGATTCTATGAAGATAAAATAGGAAAAATTATATGTATTACAACTAGTGCTTGTGATGCATGTATACTATACTTGTATGTAAGCAACATGACTGATGTATGCAGTGCAGTAGCTGGCTCAACGCCAAGTCTAAACTGGAGCGGGAGACCTGCCGAAAGCATGGCAGACATTCAAAACACATATTGAATTCATGTTCAATGGTCCGCTCAAGAAAAAGTACCTCGGAAAATTTATGCCTCGGATGTCTGAAGTCAGCACACCACAGAACTCACAGAAAACTATTCAGATTGGAACTGACGAGAGCTTTGAAACATTAAAAACGATGGCAACGAACGCACCTGTGTTGAGGTATTATGACCCAAAGTTAACACTGACATTATATGTAGATGCGAGCTCTAAGGGAATTGGAGCAGTTTTGATTCAAGAAGAAAGACCTATCGCATATGGTTCCCGTGCTCTTACATCATCACAACAAAACTATGCACAAATTGAAAAAGAAACATTGGCTGTTGTTTATGGATGCCAAAAATTCCACCAGTATGTCTACGGCAGAATGGTACATGTGGAAACAGATCACAAACCACTGCAGTCGATATTCAGCAAACCTCTGTGTAAAGCACCCATGCGATTACAGCGACTCCTACTAACTCTACAGAAGTATGAGTTGAATGTTCAGTACAAGCCGGGCAAGTTACTCTACATTGCAGACACACTCAGTCGTGCATACTTACATGAAACAGAGGAAGAACTTGTTCCTGATCTGGAAGTAAACTTAGTCTCACCTGCCACATACTTACCAGTGTCACAGAAACGTTATGTTGAACTACAGGAGAAGACGGCAGATGTAATGTTTTACAGTCATTAAGAGACACAGTCCAGAATGGCTGGCCATCAGACAAAGACCACCTACCAAATTGTCTACATCCATATTGGTCATTCAGAGATGAAATCGCTTGCTTAGACGGTCTTTTATACAAAGGAGACAAGCTTATAATTCCGAAGTCAATGCAAGCAGAAATGCTCAACATTATTCAGCAGGCACACATGGGAATAGTAAAATGTAAAAATCGAGCACGTGAAGTCATATATTGGCCAGAAATTTCATCTCAAATAGAAGACATGGTCTCCAAATGTGCTATATATGCTGAAACTCAGAACAGCAACCCGAAAGAGCCACTGGTCTTAGTTGACTTACCTGACCGCCCGTGGGCTAAAGTATCCACTGATTTGTTTATGCTGAACTCCAAGCATTATATACTGACCGTCGACTACTATTCCAAATGGCCAAAAGTCATGAAATTGACGGAACCCTCAGCAACCTATGTGATTGCAGCTTTGAAAAGCCAGTTCGCAAAATATGGGATTCCTGATGAAGTGATTTCAGATAATGGTCCGCAGTACTCATGTAATGAATTCAAACAATTTGCTCAGGACTATGGATTTACTCATATTACGTCTAGTCCTTATTTTGCTCAGTCTAACGGTCAAGTAGAAAGAATGGTCCAAACAGTGAAACGCTTACTAAAGAAGTCATCAGATCCATACAAGTCTTTGATGGACTACCGCAACACGCCATTAAATATAGGTCAGTCACCAGCTCAGCTATTCTTAAACAGACGTTTGAAAACTTTACTTCCTACTACAAGTAAATTATTACGTCCATCAAACTCAACACAAATACAGGAGAAACTACAAAGCGACAAGTGCAATCTAAGATCTTCTTTGACAGAAAAGCGGGCAATGTGCTACCAGAACTCAAGGATGGAGATCCAGTCATGATTCAGGATGGAAACATGCTACAGTTAAGTCAAAACATCACACACCGAGATCATACATTGTGCAGACCCCTGACAGCAAACTTTACAGAAGGAATCGGAAAATGCTCAGACCAACACAGTCAACTCCATTAATGAGGAACATTCTGAAAGAAAACTTGCAGCCATTCGCAAATGGTGATGTAATTCCAACTCGATCAAGACCACAGGATGAAGTTCCAAAACCTACCACTTCACCAGTCGCAAATCCTTCCAAATCTGTCGAGTCGAATTCATATGCGTGTCCATCCATCCCTCAGCAAACAAGATCTGGGCGCATCGTCAAAGTACCTGCCAAGTATTCTGATTGTGAAATGTGATTGTGAAATTTAATGAACTTGTGTTACGTTATGTTTTCTTTCAAGGGGCAGAATAATCCCCACATATGGTTTGAAGGTAGTATGCCTAGTGAAAACCATAAAAAGCATATTATCATTTGTTTACATGTTAACAGTTTACAAATGATACAAATGATACTTGTTCTATTTATTCAAAATTGTGGACACAATTCCATTTATTCTAATTTCTAGTCAAAAAACTCTCATATTAAAGTTCAGTGACTTTAGAAAATAATATTAGAATCTCTATGTAAAGAACTATATGCGGTATTAACCAACATTTGCCCCCCAAAATTAAACTTTGATGGAGTAATATTAAATTAAGTCCTTAAACAGGGGAGTATATGCTGACTTCAAAGCACTGAATAATTTCATAAGTAATGACGTCATATGTACGTAATGACGTCACAAACATGACGTAAATTTCAGTTTTCTATGAATTTTGCAGAAAAATGTACATATTTCTTCGATATTTTAAATAAAAGTCACCGAGCGCATGTGTGTTCAGGATAAATATTTTGATATAATGTGTAGAATGATAATATCAATGAAATATGTCAATATTGTTCCTGAACACACATGCGCTCTATAAATTTTAAAGCTTAAATTGTTGAAATTTTGTCCATTTTGTCCTCTTTCTGAAAAAGGATATAAAATCGGACTAGTTTGTGACGTCATAAAAACAGAAATTGTGAATACACTGCTCTGGAACTATAATATTTTCTGTTAACTTATATTTCTCGTACAATTTATTGAATTCAGCACATTTCAGGAATTTTTCAAAATTTGACTTTTGTGGGGGGAAACATATGCAATATACCGCATATAGTTCTTTAATAGTTTATTGTGAACTCTACGTCAAATACTTTTATTAATATCATTTGTACAGTAAACTTAAGATGGGAGATGTCATGTATTTAGTAATCAGGAATTATACAATGTGTCAGTTTTGGGTTCTGTGTTATATGTTAGTTAGTTGAATAAAGATGGAAACCTCCATGTGGTTGTCTATGTGATGCAACTCCGACGACTTATATGACAGAAGGGAAACAAAAAGAGTGAATTTCATAGATAGCCCCCCCCCCTTTGGTGCCTGAGGGATGGGACCAAAACCACTAAAATTAATACAAAATTTAAAATCCTTCTTTCTTACTCCCAGGCATCAAGCAGTCAAACTGTAGGTATGACTGTAATCAGCATTAAGTCCTCTACCAAAATTGTGAAATTCATAGCCCCAGGGTTACACGTTTAGAAAAGGAGTTTACATTTTTGTTTTGTTCATTTTTTCTTGTCAAGAGATTTCTGGATTTGATTTTTTTTATTGTGATCAACCAATCCTGAAAAAAAATCAGGATTCCCCCCCCCCTTTTTTTTTGAAAAAGTACAAAAATTATTCGAAAAATTATGCCTTTTGTGGCAGTTGTCATCAAGCTGTTGGCTGTTGTATGTGGGATTCCATAATATGGAATGCTAATTCAACACGTTGAAAATAATTTTGTTCAAACTTTTTTATGCATTTGGAAATTTACTGCAACCTAGAAAACAAGCCTGATGAAAATTCTGTTCATTGGTAGTAACATAGATCTTAAGCTTTAGGTCTATGGTTGTGAAGATATCAACAAAAATGCGAAATCCGAGGCTGTTGGGAGTTGAGAGGACTAGTTTTACCACTTGCCAACATTATGATCGGGATCGCCATTTTGACTATTAGAACACAAAGATCGGTGCAATTCTGTTCCTATTTGAGTAACTGTTATTCCATCAGTCCCTGTGAAAATCTTTATATTTCTAGGTAGGACAAGTAATTTTTGTAATTGAAACCTGTCAGAGGACAAGTACAAAAAAATTCTATTTGTGTTTCCCTGTAGCCCTTTTACATGTGTTACTGTCTGGAAAAAGAAGTAGTTTCCTTTCATTTCTTCACACTTATGTTGTTTATACTGAAATGAAATTTACTATACAGATGTATCAGATAAATATCTACCGTATATACTCGCCTATAAGTCGATATTTTGGGAGTTAAATATTGGTCTAAAACTCTATATCTGACTTATAGGCGAGTCATAAAGAGATTGGTATTTTTCTGGAGGCCAAAAGGTCACATGAAGGTAGTATCTTATTTGCCTTTTTGACGATTAATAAAGAAAATGTCAGGATATAAAAGATAATTTGTGTATTCAAAGATTATATATATAAAGTACAAGTGTTTACATATTTTATTAATTTTATTTGTATTTTAAGTAAGCATTGCCTTTTTGTTTAATAATTTACAGTGGCGTAGCATCGTTTTTGAAAGTGGGGGGGCCAGCCAGAGAAAAATTTTTTTTTACTTACCTGAAAAAGTTGACAAGCAAAAAAAAAAGAATTAGTTGCCCAAAGTCGAAAATCCTATTTCGGGGGGGGGGGGGGGGGGTATAGGTTAACTTTTCCCCCCAGGCCCCCCCTGTTGCTACGCCCCTGATTTAAGATTAAAAATCAGTGTCATTTCGAAATATATAAAGAAACCAGTTTAGAACATCAATTGATTTACTTAAAATTGTCACCAGATTTTGGCAAAAAATTGTACCGACTTATAAGCGGGTCAATAGCAAATCCCACCAAAATAACATCAAAAAAATACAACCGACTTATAGGTGAGTATATATGGTAGGTCAAGTTCTGTTTTGGATACGATCAAGCCATTTTTGACAAAGTTATCATCAGTTACATGTATGCCCATTTGGACGTAGAAAAAATCCATTTATTTGCAGTTTCTGTTAATTTTTTTAGTTGAGAATAATGCATTGCCAAATGAATCATTTGTTTACTCAGTTGCAGGTATCAGATTGAAGCAATAACTTGGTCATAATGGCAGAGTTCAACTCCACACATACACTTTATACTGAAGACCCCACCCCTGATATGGAGTCCACTGGTGTGTATAATTATATTTAACATTGTTTAAATTTCCTCTGCAATGTCTTATATACCATTAAGTAGCCTTGGATTTGGACGCATTGATTTTAGCATGGGACGCATTGTTGTCTTTAAAGGGGTCCTCTGGACCCATGATAACCGTTTTCAAAATGAATCACTTTAGCATACGGTATTAAATGTATGAATACGGGTGGTTTTTCGCTCCAATTACATGTTCGCACCAAGTGGTTTCGCTTCCATCACTTGTTTGCGCGGAGTGGATTCGCGCCACTGTATTACTGAAGATTACCGCTATAATGAAAATTAACAAAATTCAAATTATTATATAGCATAAAAATGGGAAATTGTTGATCAAAAAGATTCTAATATCAGGTATAATATCCTATAATATCCTTAATATCAGTATTCTTATTTTATTCTCTTATATATAGTAGATATTAAACATGTGTATTTATTAATATTACTTGTACTTGACTAGCAATAAGGTTATAATAAATTTATACATATGTATTATTTATTTATTTTAACATCCAGTCCTAAATTATTCCAAATTAGATGATCAAATTTGTTCAAATAGTCATAATTTGGCTAAAATTGGGTGAAACCACATGGCGCCATACCACTCGGCGCGAGAACGTAATCGGTGCGAAACCACCCTACACCAAATGTACAGTAGTACAGTGAAACTTGGTTATAATGAAGTTGCCGGGACCTGCACAAATTATATCATTCCAAATCTTTCATATTACTTGTCTTGATTGTAGTAAAGAAGGAGCCACTTGGGATTTCTGACTCTGAAGAAGAAAACCAACAGCTGTTGATAGTGAAGGTAAGTAATTTTTTAGCTCTCCTCAATGAAGTTGGGAGTAGCTTATGTGATACTGCAATAATGTAGCCCTCTCCGATTTTTTTTTTTTTTGGGGGGGGGGGGAGGGCTACAACTCCTTAGGATCTCCGTAATGGTGCAATGTGGCAGTGAATCACTCCCACACGGATTTCAGCACAAATCATCAGTAAACGGCTATTTTATTTACAGCTGTTACCTAGACCCCAAAAGAGTAATTATGCAAGACATAAATCGATCCAAAAATATTCACAACAACCCATATATCGGTTATTTTTCATGATTGTCAACATCACAACTTGAATTTATCCGCCATGTTTACTGACCTTGATAGATTTTATTTTGGGACAGCCAATGAAAATTTAGAATCTATAGGAGCGGATCTTTTAGAATTCCCTTATTTTAAGCATACATATATCACTGTTTGCGTAAAAATAACACTTGAAATGGTTTTATAGACATTTTTGTGATACATTTCAGCACAGTCGTTTATAAACATCGACATTTGCTTTATTAAGTTGTTCTAAATTTCAAGCAAAATTCTCAGTACGTCATGCGTGAACTGTCCTGGCTGCTGCTGGTAAACATGCAGATATTTTACATTGTTTTCGAGTTTAGTGGGCTATTTTGTTGACAGTGAATAAAAATTCTGTCTTATAAGAAATAAGTTAAATGTAAAAATAATTTATTTTGCCTTTTGCCTATGTGGAAGCATCCTTGGGCAGTGTAGATCAAATTTGTTTAAATCATGACCCCCAGGGGTAGGGCAGGGCCACAATGGGGAATCACATTTTTACATAGAAATATATGGGAAAAATCTTTGAAAAATCTTCTTTACAAGAACCACTGGGCCAGAAAAGCTGAAACTTATGTGGAAACATCCTGGGATAGTATGAATTCTAAATTGTTCAAATCATTACCCCCAGGGGTAGGGCGGGGCCACAATGGGGAATCAAATTTTTACATAGAAATATATAGGAAAAATCTTTGAAAATCTTCTTCTCAAGAACCACTGGGCCAGAAAAACTGAAACTTGTGTGGAAGCTTCCCGGGATAGTGTAGATTTCAAATTGTGATCAGTGGGGTAAGGTGGGTCACAATATGCATTACAAGGGGGAAATCTGGTAAAGAACAGCATGGTCAAAGCTTCTCAGGTGAGCGATGTGGCCCATGAGCCTCTTGTTTTTATTTTACAATATATTTATATATTTAGTTCAAAATAATCAAGGGTTTTATTTTTAGCTCACCTGAGCTGAAAGCTCAAGTGAGCTTTTCTGATCACATTTTGTCCGGCGTCCGTCTGTCTGTAAACTTTTCACATTTTCGACTTCTTCTCAAGAACCGCTGGGCCAATTTCAACCAAACTTGCCACAAAGTATCCTTGGATGAAGGGGATTCAAGTTTGTTCAAATGAAGGGCCACACCCTCATTCAAGGGGAGATAATTGGGAATTAATGAAAATTTGGTGGCATATTTTAAAAATCTTCTTCTCAAGGACCACTGTGCCAGGAAAGATGAAACTTATGGGGAAACATCCTCAGGTAGTGTAGATTCAAGTTTGTTCAAATCATTACCCCCGGGGGTAGGGGGGGGGGCCAAAATGGCCGACCTAAGTTTTACATAGAAATATATAGGAAAATTCTTTAAAAATCTTCTTCTCAAGATTGACAAAGCCATAATTCATCATATTTATATGGAAGCATGTTCAGGTAGTGTAGATTCAAGTTTGTTCAAATCATGACCCCCGGGGGTAGGGCAGGCCCAAAATGGCCGACCAAAGTTTTACATAGAAATAAATGGGAAAATTCTTTAAAAATCTTCTTCCCAAGAATGACAAAGCCATAATTCATCATATTTATATGGAAGCATGCTCAGGTTGTGTAGATTCAAGTTTGTTCAAATCATGACCCCCGGGGGTAGGGCAGGCCCAAAATTGCTGACCAAAGTTTTACATAGAAATAAATAGGAAAATTCTTTAAAAATCTTCTTCTCAAGAATGACAATGCCATAATGCATCATATATATATGGAAGCATGCTCAGGTAGTGTAGATTCAAGTTTGTTCAAATCATGACCCCCAGGGGTAGGGGTGGGCCAAAATGGCCGACCAAAGTTTTTAAAGATATGTATAGTAAAATTCTTTAAAAATCATTTTCTAAATAATAGCAAATCCATGATTGGTCATGGGACTACTTTTGGATTTAAACTTAACAATTAAAATCCATTTTCTACTTTTCCTACCCTTAGTGCTCAGGTGAGCGATGTGGCCCATGGGCCTCTTGTTTTTATCACTGACAGTTTCAATGCAAAATACATGTACAATCAAGTTTAAAGCTACGCATTATTATATTGCAATATACGTATATATTTGTACATACCTGTCATTTCTGGTTTTCTTCTGGTGATGTTTAGGAACAAGTGATACATTGATATCATGTGGAATCCTTTATATAGGCCCCTCATTTTCTGACACCTTGCATTATATCTTGTGTATTGGGAAAAGTGACACACTGTCACTATTGAATTTACTGAAATTTCTCTTTACCCTCCTCAACCGTCATCATGAATCTCTTACATTACGGTATTATACCTTGTGTGCTAGGGATACCTTTACTGTTCTACCCTCATTGACAATTTTATAATAACTTTGACATTTAAAAATTGGTAATTTAGCTGAAAAGACCAATTCAGTTTTAAATATTTAATGTTCAACCAATAATTCACCTTATAAATAAAATACCAATTCAGTTTTTATATGCCAGTCTTTAGACGGGACGTATTATGTTATAGGCTTCATGTCCGTCCGTCTGCCCATTCCTGTCCAGCTCATAACTTGAATACTATTAGGCCTAGGATTATCAAACTTTGTCAACTGATACTTCTTGGGTAGACGGTGTGTCGCGCACAAACAGTAGGTCGCTCTGACCTTTAATAAAGATGCTATAGCCAAATATGGAAAAATCCTGTCCGGCTCATAACTAGAAAACTATTAGACCTAGAGCTTTCAAACTTGGCAAAAGTATACATCTAAGGTAAAAAGTGTGTCGCTGCCTATTTCAAGGTCACTGTGACCTTTAATTTAAGTGATTTTTTTTTTAAACTAAGTCTTTTAAATTTCATAATCCTAAAAATTTTCAAAATATAGTTGTATCCTTATTAAAGAATGTTAAATTAAGTAAAAACTTATTTTTTCATCATATACTTTACAGCAATCTGTAACAAATGTTAATGTTTTGAGAGAAATTCAGTTTGTCCCATGGGCATAATTATCAAGCACTGGTGTCGCCCGCATGGCACAGTGGTTAGAGCGTCTGCCCTAGAGTCGTGAAGTAAGGAGCAAATCCTTACGTCGCGGGTTCAAATTCCACTGTGGGACGTGGAGACCGGTCCTTCGGATGAGACCGTATTTAGAAACCGAGGTCCAGTGTCGCAGTAGGTGCCAACATGAAAAAGATCCCTCCCTGCTCAATGGCCATAAGTGCCGAGTATAGGACAAAATGTGCAGCTCTTCCCCGGCAAGTGGTGGCGTCTCCATATGAGTGAAAAATTCTCGAGAGGGACGTTAAACAATATACAATTAATCAATCAAGCACTGGTCAAGGAGAATTTTGATAGCAGAATTGTACATGTCAAATTAGAGAGAAATTAATGAGTTTATTGTCCGGAGTTAACTGGCAAGAGCATCTATAGATCTGATCATGCAGTGTTATCTTAATTTATCTCTTGGAAGTTTGGCAAAAAGAAATGGCCTTTTAGTTGCTTGTGTTAATTAAGAGTTCTTGATGGCTATATAGTCCAGATAAAGATCTTTCAATTGGTGTAATGTGATTAAAACAAATTGATGTTTTAGTGTATGACTAAAACTAAATTAGTATTGTATAATATAATTAAAACTAATTATACATATGTTCATTGGAAAAAAAAATTACTTTTCAATTGCAGTCATGTCTCACTTAGAATTTTATAGTCTGAGAACAAGATATACCAAACAGATATCATACATGTAACAGATACAGTGGTATACATTTTATAACATCATAAATAAAGCACTACATTTACACATATCAAAGTAAAAATGAAAGTTTCAAGTCACAGCACTGTCATTCCCTTAAAAGATGTTTGGAGCACTAGTCTATTAGACTGTTTCACTTCACATCACTAATCACAGTCACTGAAAGTTCACAGAGAAAATCCTCCTGGATTTGGTGCGACTCCATTTCTTGAAGGCTTCCTCGTAGTCCATTTCCTCTGATTTGCTGGAGATGGAAAGTCTCATAAGGTTTTCAAGTGTGGAAATTTTCAAAGAGTTTCTCACATCGGTCTTGATAAGGTTCTGCCGGCTGAAACCTCGTTCACAGTCTGCAGTGCTGACAGGAGCAGTGAGCAGGCGTTCAGCAGCAGCTGCCACGATGGGAAACATTGCCCTAGCCCTAAATGCTACCTGACAAATATCCAAGCTGCTAGACCCTACCCTAGAATTTGAGTCTACCTTAGCCCTGCAGAACTCTACAAAATTCCCTAACTCATCCTTACAATCTCTGACCTTGGCTACCTTACATACTGAAAGATGGTTTGCTATGATATCTATGTCCTCAGAAGGAGGATTCCTATCAACAACTGTCTGAGGATCAAAAAACCTACTCAAAGCTGACAAAACCAAAGCATCACCCCTATCAGTAAACCTAGACTGCAAACTAGCCTTAACACCCTCTATAAAAGTGCTACATGCCTTAACTGCCTCTGACCTTTGTCCTAGACTATCCCTTACTATGTGACCTTGAAACTCAAATGTGTAAAGACCTGATTCATCAAGAGTTGGCTCAGATGGAGCATGCTGCAGAAAGGCAGACAAGTCACCACCAGTGTTGCTAATCAAATTGTCCAAGACCTTGACAGTTGAATGCAGAAGGCAATTGACCTCAGTGAAATCTAGATCTGACCTTTGATATGACCTTGACAACACAGCTAATGGCTTCAAAGCGTCAG